CTTGAGCACGGCCTAAAGTTGGCCCCTTGCCCTACACACACACCCCCCCAATACCCCTCCACTTGTCATTATGCGGCCTCCCCACGTCTCAAGGAACGGCTCCTCAGGGTGAAGTCCCTTTGCAGGCCTCGCTGGCGGTAGAAAGGTTTTCTAAACTGAGGGCGTCCTGTTCGGGACAATCCATCTCATACATTTAGCTATCTGCTTAACAACAAGTCACTGGCAAACCGACCATGCACCACCAAAGATAGGAAGACCAATACGACATGGACTGTGTCACGTTTAGCTCTCACCTCTGGTTTGGCTGGGCAAAGACTGATTTTCTGGGGTGACCCGACCTGGTGTGCATTGGCGCGTCGGCACTAGAACCCAGAAGGTGAGAGTTCTCACACAACTCTACACACGAGGCGGCACTAGAACCCAGAAGGTGAGAGTTCTCGCACAACTCTACACACAAGGCAACACTAGAACCCAGAAGGTGAGAGTTCTCGCACAACTCTACACACGAGGCGGCACTAGAACCCAGAAGGTGAGAGTTCTCACACAACTCTACACACGAGGCAGCACTAGAACCCAGAAGGTGAGAGTTCTCGCACAACTCTACACACGAGGCAACACTAGAACGCAGAAGGTGAGAGTTCTCGCACAACTCTACACACGAGGCAACACTAGAACCCAGAAGGTGAGAGTTCTCACACAACTCTACACACGAGGCAGCACTAGAACCCAGAAGGTGAGAGTTCTCGCACAACTCTACACACGAGGCAGCACTAGAACCCAGAAGGTGAGAGTTCTCGCACAACTCTACACACGACCACTCTCCAGCTCGCCCTGCTCCTGAATGTCCCGCACATGCCCTGTGCCTCCTGTTCCTGGTTTTTGCGCACGTGCTGTTGTTTTTTTACCTTTGATTTTTTTAGTTAACATTTTTATTTTCTAATCAAACACGAGCAGCCCCGCACGGCCTTTGTACCTGACTGCCCGTCCCTCCATCTCTCTCTCCAGCCATCCAGTCAGAAAACGTATTTTCCTAATGTAGTCTGAACTATGATGATCTGAGTTTGATATGATGGTGTTATTTAACGCATCTCGCTCATTTTCACGGGATGCACGCCCTGGGTGGGAGGGAGGGTTATGACGTCGGCACCATGCAGGAACCCGCTCCAACGCTGTGGGGTGTGGTGGTGACGTCATCCCGCAGATGCGTGCCATGACGTCGCCACCGAATACGCTCACTTGCTCGCCCGCCCGCCAAGAAGCCAGGCAGGCAGAAATCCAGGCAGCAAACTTATGAACATATACGTACAGTAATGATTATAATCACCATGCAAGATCGAAAAAAGACGGTCATCGTGTTGTGTGGCGCTGTTAGAGGTGCTGCGTCTATGGCCGTCTGGAATGCTTTTCCTTACATCATTAGGAAGCCACTGAAGCTCTTCTTCTTGGATAACTTTGACATTGCTACTTAAACCCACTCACCTACCCTCTCGCTCACTAACTTAACCACTGACCCACACAGCAACTCACTCACCCACCATCTCACTCACCCATGCACTCACTTACTCACCATCTCACCCAATCAACCATGCACTTGCGGTACCGCCGCAGCGGAGCAGCTCCGTCGGGGGCCGTACCCACCGCCGTGACACCAACACCGGGGGGTGATAACGCCGCCCGCCGCACGAACGCACACACACCCCACGTAGAGCCAGAAGGGGAGGTCACCTGGCCGACGAGTTTTTATCCAGAGGCCCCTAATGGGATCAAGCTTCATGGTTTCCCACGGCCGGGAAAATGGGCGAACTCCCCCCTGTAGCTGACGCGCACCACGGCACCGTGACCCAATGTTAAAATGACGTGGTCACGACGGAGGCCGTAGAGCCACCGTGGATGAAATCACACGGCACAGGGAGTGAGAACAGCGGTGCGCCTTTATTATGGGTAGGATTAGAGACTCACACACACACACACGGCACGGGGCGTGGGAACCACGGTGCGCCTTTGTCATAAGTAAAATTAGGGACCCCCAATAACAATGGGACGGGGGCATTCCGAAATCTGAATGGACAAGGCGGCACGGCGTGGGAACCGCGGTACGCCTTTTGTTATAGATATAATTAGGAACCCCAATGACAACGGGACGAAAATAGTTCCGCCATCTGAATGGACGAGGCAGCACGCGTGCGGTGGCAGACCTCTGCGATGGGGAGGATAAAATCAGGAGGGTTGGGGCAGTAACGGGAGTTCTTCAAAATCATCGCGGTCCACGGAGCAGGAGAGTCAGCCATTCGGGAAATCCGTGTGACGAGCTTCAGCGCAGCCAGGCTCAACCCTCCCCGGAGACGACCCACAACATCGCCTTTCTACAGCTTCCAGCGCAGCAGGGTGGAAGTAAGCGTGAGTAAGAGAGAAAGGTAAGTTTGGGCTATTTAATCGAGGGTAGAAAGCGGAGCGATAGGCAGGGTGAATTGAGCCGAGGATTCCCGAAGGACAGGCTATGGGGGGCCTGCTGACTCACACAATCACGCGTAGTTTAACGGGTTACTCGCGGTAAATAAAATAGCTAGTAGGAGGATAAAACTGCGTCGTATGGTCTTTGTGAGTGTGAAGAGGAGGGCGGAGAGTGTTTGTGTTCACGCGCATACGCGGCTGATTGCGGCGGATAAGGGAGTGTAGCGCTTTGCGCTCGCGTGCGTGCGTGCGCGGTTGTTTACGACAAGGCGGAGCGCTTAGCGTGCGCGTGCCTACGCGGCTGTGTACGGTGGTGTTTAGCGCTCGCGTAACCATGCGACGGTTTACGGCAGTGCTTAGCGGGCTTGGTGTTCGCGTACCTGTACGATTGCTTACAGTAGGGCTTAGCGCTCGCGCGCCTGTGGGATTGCGTCGCGGTCGCGCACTTGCGCGATTGTCTAATAGCGAGGTGGCGAACTAAGCACCTGACGTGCGCGTATTCGCGCGGCTGTTTAAATGGCCCTTTAAATCGGAGCGGAGCGACTTCCTCCCATCAGCACGCTCACCGCAGCACACCGCCGATCTCGCATAGTGCGCCGCAAGCGCAAAGCGTACGGGTCACCAATTGAAACATGCCTATGCGGGCAGCCGCAAAGTCAGGGGTGCAAGGGGGCGAAGAATTGGGGGTTGGTAGCCCGGACCCCACAGAACAGCCGGGGGATAGTGGGACGGATTTAACGGGGGAGTCGGGGGACCACGGCCCTGACAATTCGGTGATGGCGGGGGACGGTAGCCCCCACACATTCACTCAATCATTCAGTCACCCACCATCACTTATCTACCTACTCACTTGCTCACTCACCTAAGCACTCACTCCCCATTCCACTCACTCTTACAAATGAGACTCCTATATTGGTGTCTTGATTTCTCACCCCGGTTAAAAACAAAAAACAAAAATAACAGCCCCAACTACAAAGACGTTATAAAGACGTTACCATGATGATGGTGGTAGTGGTGGTAATAATAGTAAAATGGTGATGATGGTAGTGGTGTTGATCATGGTAATAATGATGGTAATGATGGTGATGATGATCGTGTGGTTGTGATGATTATAGTAAGAATGGTGATGGTGATCATCATGGTGGTGATGTGGGCGGTGATGATGCTGATGATGATAATGATGGTGGTGATCATGGTGGTGGTGATGATGACAGTGGTGGTGGTAATGATGGTGATGAGGGAGATGGTGGTAATGGACGTGATGAGGGTGATGGTGGAAATTATGGTCATGGTGGTTTTCACGGTGAGGATAGTGATGATGATGTTGGTGATGATTGTCGTGATGGTGGATGTGATAATGGTGATGATTATGGCAGTTTTGTGTGGTGTTGATGTTGATGATCGTAATGATGGTGATGATTGTGATGATTGTGATGGTGGTGATCATGGTGGTGGCAATGATGATGGTGTTGATGATAGTAGTGGTGTTAGTCGTGGTGTTGATGGTGATGAGCTTGATGGTGGTGGTGATGATGCTGATAGGAGTTTGACGGTGGTGATGACAGTGGTAGTGATGGTGGTGATGATGTTGATGGTGGTGATGATGGTTATGGTGATGATGGTCATAATGATGGTGATGATGGTTATGGTGATGACGGTCATAATGATGGTAATGATGATGATAGTGGTGATGATAAGTAATGATTATGGTGATGGACGTGATAATGGTGATGATTATTGTGGTGCTGATAGTGATGATAATGATGATGGGGGTGGTTGATGGTTGGTTGATGGTGTTTGTGGCAGTGGTGATGATTGGGATAATGATGTTGATGATGATGTTGCTGATGATAGTGATGATGATGGGGTGATGGTGATGATGATGATTGCAATGATGGTGGTGATCGTGGAGATCATGAAGATGATGTTGGTGATGGTGATTATGATGTTTTTGGTGGTGTTGATAGTAATGATGATCGTGGTTGACAGTGATGGCGGTGGCGATGGTGATAATGATGGTGGTGATGATGTTGGAAATGATGATGATGGCAATGATGGTGGTAGTGATGACTATGGTGATTATGATGGTGGTGGTGTTCATGGTGGTGATGGTGGTGATGAAGACAGTGGTGATGATGATGGGGTGATGATGGTGGTGATGGTGGTGATGAAGACAGTGGTGATGATGATGGGGTGTTGATGGTGTGATGTTGGTGGTGATGGTGGTGATGGTAGTGAAGATGAGGTGATGATGGTGATGATTACAGTGATGATGATGGTGAATCACAGGGATGAGGAGGCGTGGTGATGCAAGCGCGCACTGCAGGTGAAGGAGCGGCCACACGAACCTGCGATTTGTACTGCACCGGCGACATCGCTCACGCACGCCAACCTGAACCTCACCCTCCCCCCTCACCCTACCCCTCAATGCTCAACTCACCTCACCCTTTCCTCAATTTTCACCTCACCCTCCCAACACCTCACCTTCTCCTCACCCTCTCCTCACCCTCCAAGCTCACCCGTAACCTTCCCCTCCATTCTGCCATCACCCTCACCTTACCTCACCCTCTGTTCCACCTTGCCATCACCCTCACTTCACCCTCTCCTCACCATCCACCCTCTCCTCCGTTTATTGGGTTTCTGTCTCGGTTTCTTGAGTTGCTATCTCTCCTCATCCTCAGGATGCACGACTCAGATCCACGATCTTCAATGGTTCTTTCAAATACCCCACCCACATCCCAGGGTAGAGAGGCTGCAAGAATCCCTGCCGAACCTCGTGGATCACCTCCATGGAGTCGGGGCGGTAAAACGCCAGGAGCACCCCCTCCCAGTGCAGGTGAAGCCCGATTCTGCGTGGGGAGGGGGCCCCCCTCACCGACAGTGCAGTCTTCACTCCTCCATGAACCACTGAGAAGTTGTTGTTACATTTCTCTAAACACCAGGATGCGTCGCTCCCTCCATGCAGCTGTGCAGCACCACTCCCTTTCCGTGGGATTGTCCCGTACGCGACTCCAACCCGACACCACCGCGCGTCCCCCACGTCCACCTCCCAGTAGTGGTGGCCAGACAAGAAGCTCTCACAGCACAGGGCTTGTGCAAAGCCATCAAACCGGTGTGGGTGATGGGGGCGACCCTGGGAGGCACGGACCGCTGTCATCGTCCTGAGATCCGAGGAGATCTGGAGTTGGTTATTAGCTGAGTTTGTGTCCAGAGTTGGTGAGCGTCCGTCTGTGACAACAGCGATAACAACATCACTACAGAACAACATCATCACCATTATCCACTATCACCACTATCAACATTACCACCACCAACCATCATCTTCACCATCAACAATAACATCACAAACATCACCATCAACAACCATCCTCACCATGAATATCATCAATTACAACTACATATACATCACCACCATCATAAACACTGTGAACATCAACAACATCACTATCGCCATCAATACAGTGCCATTCGCCATAAAGTGGTGGTGACGTCACCACGGCGCTTGTGCCAGGCTATGTGCACGTTGAGGCCACGTTAAGTGTCGAACGCCCGCTGGTAGGAGGTCATGGGGCAGACCAAGGTGCTATGGGTCGACTGAGATGACTGGCCAATGCACTATCATTACCACCATGCTCATCACGACCACTATCACCATCATTATGACCATTACCAGCATCAGGAACTCATTTGAGGTTGAAACTGCCTCGTAGAGGCCAAGGACTGGATAAGATATCACCTGCCACTTATGTTAGCCTTGGCGGGTAATCAAAGCCAGGTAACTAGGTTCGCAGTGCAGTGTGCTAACCACTATGCCACCACTCCCCCCATGCACAAATGCACAGACACATTCAGAGGAACAAATTGCATCTCAACATCACAATTACCCCTGACCCGTAAAGCTGATTATTTGCACAAGATCGTCATACTTAGCCTCATGGCTCTGTTCAGTCAGGTCCTGGATTGGGATGTGAACAAAGACTAAGATCCCCTGTGTAGCCTAAACAGACCATTGGGGCAAGTGCTGTTAGCGAGCATCTATGATGACCAGCATGGCACACGAGGAGGTGGGTGGCCAGCACCACGCCCGACCACCTTTTTCTCCCTAGTGGCGATTTTGTTTAAATACAGGATCAGGCTCCAGAATGTAAACAAAGAAAAATATTCCCCGTGTTGCCTTAACAGACTGTCGAGGTAAATCAGCACCTTTGAAAGCTGGAACAGCACATGAGGGGCTTGGTGGTCCGCACTACGCCTGGCCACCTTTGTCTCCCTCGTGGTGATGTTTACACACAAAACTAGGTAAGCATTTGAGGCTGAGTCGACCTCGTGCACACACACACGGTGATCATTTATTGTGAAGATGGCCCCATCACCCATATTTCACACTGAAGAACTCACACAGGAATTTGGCCACAGTTTCCTCGGTGCCTTTAAGCGAAGCAATGTCCTCTTGGCTAGAACATGAGGGTGGATCTGCTGTAAACCTCCCTGTCCTGTGAAAGCAGAACAGACATGGCATCGTCACTCACAGGATCATCACAGCTCCATCACGTAGACACACATCACACAAAGCATCATCACTCATCTCACAATTACAGCATCACTACACAGAATTACTATTACCACACACAGCATCACCACATGCGGTATCAAAACACAGCATCACCACACAGCATAAACGCACACAGCATCATCACACACATCATCAACACACACCATCATCACACACAGCATCACCACACACACTATAACCACACAAACCATCATCACACACAGCATCCCCACACACAGCCAGTATCTCACTGCCCACATCCCACACTCAGTCCCATGTTGTCGTGTGTCGGGTAATGAATGAAAGTCGTATTTTACCTGCACATCTCCTCCAGGTGCCCCTATGGAAGAGAGAGAGAGATACGGTACTGTGACTCTACCTCCAATCCCTTATGATCAGTGGAGTTCCCACTGCAACACCGTGGGTGGAATATAAACCCCAAAGTCTTGGCTTATGACCCTATGATCACCAACACTGACTTACGGGGCAAATATTTCAGAGTAAGACCGATTGATAGTAAACGATAAACTACTATTTTATTTTTCAGGTAAGGCCCACGCAGCTACGTAGCTCTTTTTCAGAAGGGACCTGGCCACAAATGATAGCTCAACGAAGTGGTTCATCTCGTGGAAATTTATAGCAGCCCAATACTCTAAACGCACGTTTCCAAATGTGGAGGGAAAAACTGGAGGACCCGGCGAAAAATCCATACCACCATGGAGGGAGAAATGTAAACTCCAAATGTATATGGATGTCAGGGTTGGGATTAAATCCCGGACCTTCGGTATACCAGGCGAGGTAGTTAACATTTCGCCACCCCTATGAGGACCAACATGAATTTGCAGGGCAAATATTTCAGAGTGAGACCGGTTGATATTGATCTGTGTTGAGAGGAACGTAGGACTAGTAGTTTCTGGAGTTACCAATGCACATGGTGCAGATCTTGTAGAAGTGATGTTCAAGACACAATGATATCATTAATAAGTGTATGAGACCGTATTTATTTGAGCATTCCTAATATGAACAATGGAGGTCGCGCATCCAAGTGGAGGTACACAAAGTAAGAAGCAGAGATGACATCGGCTCGTGAGCAGGTGCTGGTGGATTGTTGCATCGCGGCATCATGAAATGTGGCAATGGGTTGGGGAGGCCTTCATCAATAAGTGGATAGATTATCGCTGATGGCAATCATGAATACCGTGTACATTGTTGTTGTATGGTTGATTTAAAAGGTGCAATTCCAATAACATTTATTTATATTCACAATGAAACAAACTTAATGGGAATCTGTTAAAGGACGGGAGAGATAATTAATTTAACTGAGAAAATATGAGCTGGGCTTCCAAATGGCAGCCACTGGAGCTGCGATGCGAGTCCATGAGTGGAGCTGTGTTCTCAAGCCCAGTGGATGCGAGCTCTCATTCAGGAGCCTCCCTCTGCTGCTGCTGCTGGTGAGAGGGCTCTGTGCCAATAGCGACACTGGAGACTCATCGCTCACCTGCAGGAACGCGAGCGAGTCCCTCTCCTGCGCTAGGGCCTGCAGGCGTGTAGCTGCTGCCTGGAGTTCGCTGATCTCGCGCTGGTAGTGAGCGATCTTCTTCTCGATCTGGGTCAGCAGCTTGCGCCCTTTCTGCTCCGCTTGCTCTAACGCCGTCTTCTCCTCCACATCCAACGCTGCTCTCGCGCGGGCGAATCTGACCGAGATTGAGGCCTTTTCATCTGTCATGGATCCCTGCAAAGAGAAAGAAATGCCACCTCTGTTCATTAAATGTCTGGTCCTTTGTGAAATGACATTCAGGTGTCCGGACAGTGATACGAGTCTGCAGCACTGAGGCCTCCTTCTTCCTCTGATAGCACTGCTGAGCATTTTCAGTACAACACGATTTGGGGGCTGTGAGGCATCATCAAATACCATCAGGAGTACATTTAGGGTCTGTGCCATTCTCATTGCGCAAGGCTATCAGGACGATGCTGTGTTTGCCTTCCCATGAAGCAAAGATTAATTTGGAATTTGCCTTCAACAAGTAGAGCCCTAAGGAATTGGGAAGTGAGGCCAATTCCTCTTCAAATTAATAATTTGAATGTGAGAGAAAACCACATATGTATGGATGAAGAGAGTGGATCATGAAACCACTTGCTAAACTGGCACCTGGCCACTCTAACGCCTGATTGGTTTCACTAAAAGAGTGTACAACAGTCTGTGTGTGATCCACCAACTCTGCCACCAGAGTATTGGATAATAGGCGCGTACCACCTCATCTGACCAATATAGATAACACGTTGAAGTGGTAAGTTGTTTAGAGATATGGTAATGTGGAATTTCCACCACTGATTGAGTTTCTCAGTGGAGATGAGAACCATCTCGTTGCTCGTCCTGATTATTCAGGCACATTGACCGTTGTGTCTTTCGTCCCACAATGTGTTATGAGTCAATGGAAGTCCACGTGAATGAATTGAGTTGTTCTCCATCACAAATACTACTCAGGGTGGAGTCACGGGGTCACAGAGTCACGGTACCTGCACGTCCCTGCGAGCGGCCTCCATCCGCCTCACGGACTCCTCCGCCTCCCTCCTCTTCTCCTCCACCGCCCGCGTCTCCTCTCCCACTTGTTTCTGTGAGAGACGTCACCAGGGGAGACTCCACTCACTCTCTGAGCATCCCCTCCCAACCCTGCTCCACGTGAACCCCTTCACAGTGACGGTGGAAGTAGCCCCGGTGCAGCGATGGAGGCTGAGGGAGCAAGCGCTGCAGGGACCTAATTTCACGAGGAGCTCAAACGTGTGCAGGGCTGCCGAAGTAGTGGGTGGGGCTACCTGAGTAGTGGGCGGGGCTGCTGGAGTAGTGGGTGGGGCTACCTGAGTAGTGAGCGGGGCTATCTGAGTAGTGGGTGGACAGGGCACCAGAGTGGTGAGATGTTTTCTGCCTTGCCTGCTATTCAGGAGGTCGTGGGTTCGAAACTGCACCTGATGCCTGTTTATGCAGTTTGCATGTCTCTCTCCATGGATGCATGGATTTTTCTCTGGGTCCTCCGGTTTTTCTGCCCACGTTTAGGAAGGTGCGTTTAGAGTATTTGGCTGCCATACATTTAGACCTGATAAGCCACTTCGTTGAGCTGTCATTTGTGGCCAGATTGCCAGCTACATAGCTCTGTGAATTTCACTTGGTAAAATAAAAATTGGTTAAGTTTAGTTTTGCATGGCACAAGGAGGGGCTGCCATGTCTCTGTTGAGTGTCGGAGAAATTCGGTAACGAGCATCTTGATGAAAATATAAAAACGATCACGAAATACTTGGTCTGTCAAAATCACGTGACTTTTCTGGAATTCCAAGTCCAGTGACCCGGCAGCTGCTGTCGAGTGCGGCACTAAAGTGGCACAGACCGGCACGAGGCTACCAAGCGGTGAGCACTGCGGCTCACGCAGTCCCAGTCGTTTTGCATTTCGTTTCAATTTTAGGGGATGCTCCTCTCTACCACAACCCACTTTTTGTATGCGAACCACAGTCGATGCATTCACGTAATTTTAAGAACACGTTGTACGCATTAAAGTTCTTCGGTTTTATCAAATATACTAAGAGCACATTTATAAATTTGGCATACAACAGGATTGAATTATGTCTGCACTATGACAACCTCAGCATACTTTATATTAAAACAACGTTGTTAAAATGTGAACGAAAAATGGGCAGCTGAGAGAGGAATGATATTTAGTTGGATATCATTGTTCAGTTCATACTTGGAAATGATGATTTCGTGCACGACAGGCTCCCTCTCACGCACAGGCAGACCGTCTCACCTCCCGTGTCTTGTGCTCATCCTCCAAAGTAGCCACATCGTGACCCTTGTGGTCTCCTGCGATGGTGCAGGTTGTGCAGACCAAGCTCTTGTCCTGTCGGCAGTAAAACTTTATCTTCTTTCTGTGCGTCTTGCATTTGCGGTCTTCAGGATTCGTGTCTGGATCCACCAGAATGTGGCCCCTGAACTTCGGGTTCTCCTGATGAGGCTTTACATGAGTCACACAGTAGGACATATCACACCTGAGGCAGGTCTTCGAGGCAGCGGTCGTGCCATCGTTGCAGAAGTCACACAAGACCACAGTGGCCAATTCATCTGCGGCACTGCGCTGCTCCACCAGGTTGGCGAGCGTGAAGTTCTTGCTCAGCTTGGGCCTCTGAGGGAAGGTCACTCGGCACTGTGGGCAGGAGAAGGACTCAGCCGCATCCCAGGCGCCCTCCACGCACTCGAGGCAGAACGAGTGGCCGCAGCTGAGCGTACAGGGGCAGCGGAAGGCGTCCAGGCAGATGGGGCAGGTCAACTCCCTTCGAGCCTCGTCACCACTGAGAGCCGCACTCGCCATGGCCCTGTGCCTCCACTCAGAGACGGGCACTGGATGTAGCTCAGGCAGTCTCTGGCTGTAGATCAGTCAGTCGCTGGATGTAGCTCAGGCAGTCTCTGGATGCAGCTCACTCAGTCACTGGATGTAGCTCAGGCAGTCTCTGTCTGTAGCTCAGGCAGTCGGTTGATGTAGCTCAGGCAGTCGCTGGCTGTAGCTCAGGCAGTCTCTGTAGCTCAGGTAGTCTCTGTCTGTAGCTCAGGCAGTCTCTGTAGCTCAGGCAGTCGCTGGCTGTAGCTCAGAAAGTCGCGGGCTGGAGCTCAGGCAGCCTCTGGCTGTAACTTCAGACAGTTGCTGACTAGCTCAGGCAGTATCCGGATGTAGCTCAGGCAGTCCCTGGCTGTAGCTCAGGCAGTCTCTGTCTGTTTCTCAGGCAATCGCTGACTGCGTCTGAGACGCTAAACAAGGAACAAGCCACGTAAATAGGTGACAAGGAAGCAGGAAGTCTTTCAGTTTGATTTGCGTGTCACGAGGCGTGCCCTGGAATGTGTTGACGTGTCAGCGAGTACAGACGTCTCCACTTCAGGGGTGGCTTAAAAAAGAAGACTCAGATCACCTCGTCTCAAATACTCATCCTCACTCACCTCATCGCAACTCACTTCAGAGGCCGTCCATAAATAACGTCACGCGATTTTGGACGATTTTTTACCCCCCCCCCCCTCGTCGTACGGCGTCACAAAAAGTCAGGCCCCCCCCTTCAAATATGACGTCACAAAGCTCTGCCCCCCACCCCCCAAAACCATATTTCCATTTTGAAAATAAAACATGCTTCAAATCTCTTTAAACTATTGTCATTGTAGTGCGTATTTAATGTGGCGTTGCACTCTGATGTTGCAGGAGAAAACATTTAAAAGGAGGCGTTGGAAAATTGAAATTTAGCATATATTATATTGAAATTATCTTATAATTATAAAATATAAAAATAATTATAACGATAAAAAAATACTTGAAACTTCGTAGTAAAACAAAGTAAAATGGAGAGTACAATTATAACAATCACAGGTTCATTTCACAGAATGAAAAACCCTGGTAGAATAATTAGAATCAAAATGTTTAATAACAATCATTAACATTTTTTTCAAAATGTATGCTTCTCCATTCTCCCATGGAGAAGCAAAATGCTCCTTCATGGAATAAACTAAAGTGACCTTAGTAAGTTTAAATAATCATAGTTAATCATGAAAATTTATTAAAATTAGTGTTGTTATAACAATTCTATATTTATTTAAAGTTGGGCATTTTAATGTGACGTCACATCTCTCAACCCCCCCCCTCCTCGTCACACATCGTCACAAATGTCTGACCCCCCCCCCTCCTAGGTGCGTGACGTCATTTATTGACGGCCCCTCACCTCATCTCAACTCACCTCAACTCAACTCATCTCACCTCATCTCAACTCACCTCATCAACTCAACTCACGTCAACTCACCTAAATTCACTTCAACTCACCTCATCTCAACTCACCTCATCAACTCAACTCACCTCAACTCGTCTCAACTGAACTGGCAGGGGGATGTGGGGGCTGACGTCCACCTCCCCGCTCCCCATGAGCGGGCGGGGCGTGACGTCCACCCCCTCCACTTACCCCTCCTCCACTTCACTGTGCCCCCGCCGATCACGTGATCGGCCCCCCCGCGCCAGCGCCCTCTCTGAGGGACATCGCTACTCGGCTGGCTCACCACCGCCCGGGGTTATCTCGCACACGCCCACGTACACCACCACCACTGATGCGGAGGTGGCTGCGTGCACGCGCGCGCCCCTGCCGGCGCTTGTTGCACTCAAAGTCGAGCGCTAAAAATAGCCTCATGAATATGCACGCGCCCCTCCCCGTGGCTAAGCGCTAATCCGCTGTGTAACAATGCTACGTGAAAAAGGGGATGGCTGCGGCAGGACCCTGGGTGCACGCCTCGCCTTTGAGGCCATTTTTACAATGTCCACGTGCCTTGTAAAGGCGTGCGAACGCCAGCGAGCGGGTGGATCGACCCCGCCTTAATCACTCACGCGGCGCTGCAGACGCGCGTCTTACACACATGCGAAACCCCGCGTAACCTGTGGTGGTAGTATAGATGGTAAGAGATGCGCACCTCACACATCAACCCCGCGCCGTCACTCCGCAGCCCTGCGCTCGCTCTCACGCCGGGCACACCGTCTCTACACGCAGACGCGCCACACAGATCACAGACGCTACGCCGAGGCTCTGCCAACACACACAGAAATCACACCACACCGATATTCTGAACTATAGTTTATTAATGGTGCCAATACGCATGACCCGGAGGAGGAATATTTTGTGAGGAGAGCCTAGCGTAAAGCAAATGTTCTACCATATACCTCGTAGCTGTACTCACGGCGTCGCATGGACACAGTGAGAGTCGGAGGGAGAAGGACGAGCGAAAACCTCGCCTATCACTGCCTGGTAGCAGCACTCGCTGGCATCACACGGATGCTGCGAGCGGCTCAAGGAGGCAGGATGGCAGGGAGTGGGTCTGGATCGGCCAGAGGTTGAAGACAACTGAACTCACTGTCCCAGGGCACCTATCTTTATTCTCTAAACTTCAAAGGCCCAGGGTAACGTCATACCGCGCAGCCAATCGGGCGCTTACCCGTGCTTCCCGTTGTCGTCCCTCTCCACCGTCTCTACCATGGCCCAATCCTCTCACTTCAAAGGCCCAGGGTGGCATTGTACCGTGCAGCCAATCGCGCGCTCACCTACGCTGTCTACATGGAGGGCCACGGGGTCTGCTGCTGCTACAGATCCTCACCCATCGTCCTCCCGTGCTCATTAATTATAACCCACTGGTCTGCCTTTCTGGCCGAATATTCCACCCTCCGCCTCTCCCAGTGTCGTGAGTAACTCATTGCGGTTGGCCCAGTGAACCTTTTCGTTCAGCGCCCATACAAATCTTAAGCCAATTTAGGGGCACCGCAATGTAACCTGTCCTGTGAGGGTCGGCCAATCTCCTGGCACCGGGAAACCGTGGGACTCTCCCTCTAGGGGCCCTTCGGATTAAAAGCCGATGTGCCAGGCAACCCCCCGTCAGGACACTACGTGGGTGCACTGTGTGCGGGTCGTGTGTTTAGTGTGGAGGCCGGGAGGGGATTGCGGCGTTTGCGGAGTTGCTCCGTGGTCGTGGCACCACAGGAACGCTGCTCGTAAACTCGTTGCTTTCTGCCTCTCTACTCCATGAGATTGTTGTTGTTATCTTCGTCTTTCAGATTTCTTTCAGCTTCTCTTTTTAATTTTAGTTTAACACTCTGAACTACTTCGTGAAAATAATTTGTTCCGGTCTCAAAGTCGCGTTCCAGTTGTCGAGCTGTGAGACACCGGTGGGAGTTGCCGTGTTTAACTCGGTCACGTGGCTGGGGCTCAGGGTCCAGCTGGTGGAGCTGTGATACACCGGTGGGAGTTGCCGTGTTTAACTCGGTCACGTGGCTGTGGCTCAGGGTCCAGCTGGTGGAGCTGTGAGACACCGGTGGGAGTTGCCGTGTTTAACTCGGTCACGTGGCTGTGGCTCAGGGTCCAGTTTGCGGAGCCACAAACCACCTAGCGAGGCCCTTTGCTGAACCCGGCACAGTTTCCCGCTAATGTGGGCAGGCGGCAGGCGCCCCAGGGGGGTCCGGCCGTAACACATCAACATCAGCGCGTAAAAACTAAATAGTACCTTTTTTGCCGGTATCAAACTTTGAGATAATAATGATAGGTTTTACCATTTCTGGCAATAAAACAGCAGTTGTGTTAAGATGTTCAAACACCAAAAAGAAACCTTTGCAAGGAATAATGTATGCATTAACCACACACAGTTCTTGTGGTGACTATACAAACAAACATACTCTGATAATTACATAGGCATTGTATTTGAAACTGATTGGCCTACACCAGAGACGGCAGTCTTCTTAATGCCTAGTCTCACCACCACTGTAGTAGACCAGAGAACAACATCAAAAAACGAATAGTACAAAGACAATGCACAGATCAGAGTATTAAGTAGTGAGATGCCCCTGTAGTTGTTACAGTCTGTGCGATCTTTTTTCTTAAAGATGGGGACCACCAGGGCATCCTTCCAGTCCTGCGGAACCCGTCCAGTGGTCCAGAGGTGTTATGATGTCATGTAGGGCAGTCTGTGCACAAACGCCACCCTCCCTCAGCATTTCGCTTGGGAAATAATCTTTGCCCAGTGCCTTTCCTTGTCTCAGACTCTGGATCGCCTTCAGTTCTTTCTCAACAGATGGCACTTCCGACAGCCACTCACAGGGGGTGACTTCCTCTTCCAATATTTGAGGCAACACAGCCTCAGCAGGGTCATCCCCACTTTGCCCCACGATGTTTTCCATGTGGAGGAATTTCCCCTCTCCCAGGAAATCACAGAAATGCTCAGAAAATATGCAAACCTGTTCCAGGGGGTCGGAAATTGGATCACCGTTTTTTCCCCCCGAATGATGGTAATAGGTGTGGCGCTGTAGGTTACTTTTTTATGGAATTAAATAGGGATTTGTGTTCGCGGGCCATTGAGGCAGACTTCATCTCCTCAGCAACCCGCGACCACCACCCATGCTTGCAGCGCCTCACGACATTGTCCGAACCTCCGAGCGAAGGCTCCGGTACGCCTCCTCATTCTCCGACGTGGGATGCTGTAGCCGATGAGAGTGGGCCTGTCGCTTTTTTCTCAGCCAGCTTGGACACCTCCTCTGTCAGCCAGGGTCTCTGTGGAGGTCTAGACCACGTACCCAAAGCAGACATTGCAGCTGCCTGAGTCACAGTCATTAACCTCACCCATTTACCCTCGACATCTGGAGGAGTGGGGGACGATGCCAACCCCAGCCACAAGCGATGATGAAATTCTCGCTTCCAACTTTCATCAGCTAGCTGAGACCATGCCGCCTTATGTTTGAATGGGGTCCTGGGTGTACACCCACCACCCGAGTGGAAGAATGGCAGGTGCATTTAACAGATGACTAGTCGATGGTCAGAGGGTAGATCTGCTCCACGGTAGGTCCTGTTGTCAAGGACATGGGCCCGCATCCACTGTTGCGTCACTACGTAGTCCAGCAGATGTTCATGCTTGGACCCGGCATGCATCCATGATGTTGTATGGATGTGCC